TAGGACTTTTGAGATAAGAATGCGTCTATATGTTAATCGGGAATGTGAGCTATCATCATACCAAATTTAAGCCCAATCCGACCAGTATTTTTCGCGTTTACTTGTCACAAACATACATACATTCATACATCCAAACTTTCTCATTTATATACTTTGTATTGATGGTTTTTTTCCATAATTATATCTATTTTGGAAAATGTTTAGCTTTGTCTACAATTGACTTGATCATACACAACTGCGTCTTGAAATATTAAACTAATTTAACTGTATTACACTATTAATAGAGATCGTAAAAGATGTATACAAAATTGTGAATACCTATTTGAATACTCTTACCTTAGAGGTGCACTCCGTGGTCCAATATTACCGCATTTCTTCCGCTTCTTTTTCACTGAGGGAAAGCCACGAGCCTTTTTGCAAACTGGAGGCATTCTCACTGTCACAAGAACAACTAATAACTGACGAACTGAAGGTTTGTGGACAAGGATATGTTGCAGGGAACGATCTTCCTGGAAGTCATAAGCCTAGCCTGTAGATATTTCCACTTTCACCCTTGCTCTCGACCCAAGGGTCGCCTCTCGGCTCAGTGTTCTTGGAAATCAGTGCGGCTGTCGCCACTGGTACCACATATCTTTAAATCGCGTACATTTTGAAAATGACACAAACAGAAACAGATAGTGATAAAGTTGGCTGAAGCCATGTTCAGCCAAGATATGTTATCCGCGCTGGGTAACAATTAATTATCTATTTATTAATTTGAAACTGTTTTTCTTTGTCATAGCTATTTTGAGAGAACGGCTGGGTGTAGAAACTCGGTAGAGGTGTCTAAAGAAAGGTCTTGGTCTGTAGATGAGCCATCAAAAGAGAAACATGGTGAATTCCCTTGGGGCTCTGCCCCAGTGGCCTTTAAATTCCCATCCCATGTTATTCTTATGGAGGAAAACGGGGTTTTTGTCACAGCTAATTTGAGAGAACGGCTGGGCGTAGAAACTTGGTAGGGGTCTCTAAAGAAAGGTCTTGGTCTGTAGATGAACCATCAAAAGAGGAACGAGGTAAATTCCCATGGGGCTCTGCCCCAGAAGCCTTTAAAGTTGCCTCTTCAGATTTGTTTACATTACGACCATATGCATAATTCTACCCTACTATTTAATGAAACAGCTGTTAATATTTAAATTGTGATTTATTGAATTTGTCAAAATGAAGTAGCCTACAGTATTTTCAATGGGTTTTTCTGATTTTAAATTGGATTTTCTTCTGCATCATGTCATGTTTTGCAATATAATGTTCTATTACCAAATCAGTGGAAAATCCTAATATCACTAACTCTTGATATTCTTTGGCGTATTGCATCTGTAGACGAAACTTGGGTTGGTGAAATTATTACAATGGAAAAAAGCGAGAAATCCTGGACAATTTGATATAGGCTAAAAATAAAACTGAATTAACAATAAGCTACATTTCTTGAGCAATCATTGAAATAACCGATTTGCAAACAATGGAAACATAGAAAAAGTCATAGAACACAACCAAGTAGAAGAAAAGAAATAATGTTTTTTTTTCATTTATAATCGTTATTATAGACAACCTAATGCTGCTATGAGAGGGAACAATTTGTAGAAACACTTAAAAACAAGATCAGCTTTTTGAAAAAAGATAAGCTATTTACAAACGATTTTGATTATATCTAACTGTTGTGTATATCGTGAGTATTTCCATAATCTTTGAGTCGCCTGTAATGCTTCGCAATTGCTCGAATTCGAGCAACAGGTACACTAATGATTGTTAATTTACAAGTGTTACTATACGGTTAACGAAAACTAATATAAAATAGCTTGCTTTTGGTAACGATATATAATTCTTTCTATTTTGTTTCACTTGTAGACATAAAAAAAACAGAAAAATCGTAATCCCTGTATGTGTTAGTTATAATATAGAAGGATTAAAATTAAATCCTCCTAGGTTATAATGTGATTTGATTACAGTACATATACTTTTTCTGCATAACATTGCAATGAGCTTAGTGGTGGAGGACTGCTGCAAAAGGCTATATAATAGCCTAAACTTATATATAATATAAATATATGGGTGTAATGTGACACTCCTCCTTGCCACTTTACGTCCATAGAAATCTCCTAGTACAGAAACGTATTTTAATATCTCTGTAACAACTTATCCCATAATTAATACGAGCTATGTTTGTTGGTCTGTAAATATATATCTCGAAATCCAGCGGAAGTATTTTGACTGAATTTTGAAATCAGGGACTTACTTATACCCCTAAAAACATAACATGGTTAGTGACACACTACCAACCAAAATTCGTATTTCGCTATAAAACTCATTTAAAAATTTTACATTGGCCTTTATGGGTTGCCAAGTAACTATGTTGGTTGAACAAGGACAAAGTAAACAACAGACTTGGCACATGTGTTTTTACACTACGCAAGATCATAAAAGTGTATTTTATTTTTGTTTAGTTGCATATTTTTAATGTAAGACTAAATTACTTACGTAATTCGCGTCACAGCTCAATAATATTTTTGTCACAAATCAATGCATATTTTTGCACTAAAAAGAGAACTATTAATTCAGTAATAATAATGTTTTTGTATATTATAAAATGTCTGCTTGCGATTAATCGTTATAGTTAATAATCGTTATAGTTTTAACGATTGAACCCAATTAATTAACCAACGTCGAACAAGACTCGGCCTCAATGTAAGTTACAATAACAGAAACTATCCAAAGTCCAGCTGTTATTGAAGTTATACTTTTTATTGTAAAACCAAAACTTATAACACAAATAATAGGAAGGACTCATTTGATTCAAATGTTTGTGTATTACCATTTATTAGGTTTAATCATATTTTTTTACGATATCGATTTTATTATTCTCTGAATGGTAAAATCCCGAATATAATGCAATTTGACTTAGCCATTTATCAAGAATTACGATATGGATCGATTAAAAAATACTGTGTCTAAACGTTTTTAAAACATTCCTACGATCTTAATAAACAAGAAAATACCTTTAAAGCATTTTTTTGGCGCGGAAACCACTTCAAATTACAAAAACATACGGAACTATATTCTCAAAACGCGGAGCACATTTCTTGCCGAGGAAAAATATAGCGGAGTGATACGGACCGGGTACTACTTTCTCTAGGGCACCTATTTGTGTTGCCAGCTGAACCTAAAAACGTGTTGTATAGTGTTTGAAAGACTAATTATTTATATGCTTTATAGTGACTGTAGGAAAAATGTAATGTGTAACACGAGTGCAAAAGGCCTTTGCTGCACTCGAGATCATTCCTAAACATTGCTCTCGTGTGCAGCAAAGTGCCACTTTGCCCACTAGTTACACAAATAACTATTTCCGGAAGAACGGAAAATGCCTCAAGTTCAAAGAAGAAATAATGAAAACGGGAGGAGACAATTAAGATATCTTATGCGAATAAGGAGAGTAGAGAAAGAGAGGCCTGGTCTAACAGATACCCATCCAGATACTCATCCACTTGGTGAGCTGAATAATATTTGCCAGTTCTGCTATGCAACTTACTTTGGTAGTGAAAAAATATACGAAGCACATAGTATTGTGACGGTGGTAAAGTAAACTTGCCTAATGTCAGATCAAATGAATGCGTGCAAGAAATGTTTACTTCAATTACTTCTGGTTCTGACACTGACGATCAAGATATTTTAAAACATTTAGTAGAAACTATAGTAATGCCTTGACTATGATAAGTTCAAGTAGTAAGATAATACCAAATCTTGGCGAACCTTATGTTTTTATTGTAATCTTTTGTATTACTCGCTTTACATTAATTGAGAAAAAAACACAAATGGATTGTTTGCTTCCTAGCTTATGTTGCCAGTTCCTCGGACAAACTTATACAACGGTTTTTGGCTAAATTCACCAACATAATCAAGACATGTCAAGTCAAAAATAAGAAATTTCAAAAACTCATTTGCTATTGAAAGTTTAATTAGTGGCAATATTAGACCAAAAATAAATGAATGAATTAGTGTATATGTATTTAACGATCGAGTAGTTACGGTAAAATTTATTTTTATGATTAAGGACAGGCAAATAATATTCGCTGTTCAAAAAGAAAAAATGAAAATTGCTATCCAAATCTTATAGACAAGAGTTATCCAACCTATTTCGACAAATGAATCCATACTTTCAATTCTTTGGGACAAGTATTAGAGAAACTCCACACTGAACAACGTTAGAACGTTCTGATGCGGGACATACTGTGACTGATGATAGACAACCTAGACAACACGTTAAAATACGTTAACCAGCTTTCAATAGTGTTGCTGCTTTAGCCTATACAAAGCAGATTATGGCTGTCCAGTTGGTAACCCGGAGTTTGTGGGTAAAAAATGGAGCACATGAAATGGTTGATATCACCCCACTTTTCAGGATTCGCTACGGAGAAAATTCGTTTGATAAGGGGTATGTCTCAAATCAAAGAAATACAATGACCCAGCTTAAATTACCTAACACAGGTTATCAGTACGGCAACAGTTTCCTTCAATTCTCAATGCTGAAAAAAACTTTGTTGCAACATATGTTTGCTCAAATTGAAGCAGATCGTTTAGCATTCATTAGAAGTTTTCAGTTAAAAACGGAGAGCATAAATAATGTAGGCGAACCTCGACGACGCAAATAGAGATATTTAAAATTAGTTTCTAACAAAGTGTTACACAACTCTAATAAGTTACTTACTAATAATAACATTACTAACAAGTACATTACTTGAATTTAAAAATAACGTCCTTGGCGTTATGTTTTATACTATGCGGCTCGGTCAATGAATACACAAACTATATAGTTTGTGTATTCATTGGCTCGGTGCCTTGCTCTGCTCCAATCAATCATCCTTGTGGTGCGAGCGATCAGTCAGATAAAACAAAACATACTCCTTTCAGTTGGTGTAGGTGTAGTGGTAGCGTTGCAGTTTGCAGTAGCCATCCAGCCATCCGGATCCCATACGGTGTTGCCATTTCGAATCGAACGCCGCGGTCGCGGTCGTCATGGTCATAGTAGACGGACATTATTGCATTTTGATGATCATGTGATAATGCTGTGGCCAAGGTCAAGGTGATGGTGATTCGGTGATACGATACTAGGTCAACTAACTAGTGTGGTGATAGCATTACTTCATCTATGGTGATAGTGAGTGACACAAGGGAATGAATAAATACTGACTGACTGATTTGAATTGAATTTAGAATTTAGCCTTAGCCTATCAATGTTATCATATCAACATCAACATCAAGTCATGAGCAGTGAAATCTGAATATTAGTTTTAAAAATTAGCCTACAGTTAGTACTACAGTTTAGTTAAGTTATTATGGATCGTGAAGGAAATCCTAAAAGTCTTAAAATTGAAGATATAGAAGGTTTTAGAAATTTGAAAAATGCTAAACGATTTGCGATTGATATTGGTAAGTTGAAAGTTAGGTTATGTTTGCTCTTATTAACTTAGGCCCTAGGCCTATTCCTTGGTCCCTGTGACATAGGCCTTTGTGTTGTGGTACTAGGATACTGAGAAAAAGTTTGGTAACCACTCGTCACAGTGAGTTAAGAAAAGAAATGAATTCATTTTAGTAAAATGTTTTCTTATCAATGCCCAGTTCTCTGCTTCCCTTATAACTTATTACAGAAAGTTATGGTAGTTAAGACAGTCCTTCTGATTTTGAGGTTATCTAAATATTGATTGATTTTTGACATACAAGAGAACCCTAAATAGGGCTTCACTCTTGAATGAAAAAAAAATCACCTAAAACACCGAATCAGTCTTGGTTTTTTACTGGGACTGGGAAAAACAATAAGGCCCGCTTTCTCCAATTTCGGTTAAGTTAACCTGTTATTAGGCTATAGTTAAATCCTGGGTTAACTCAACTCTACTCTTTCTCTAACACTGAAATTTAGTTTAACCCATGGTCCCACCTGGTTTAGCCTATCTCCAGTCTTCTCAGTTAAGTTACCTAAACCCAGTGTTGGGAAGTAGCGCGCTACAAGTAGCGAGGCTACTTTTTTTGAAGCTTTAGTTGTAGCTAGCTACATTTTTAAAGTAGTTGTAGCGGAATTCTAGCTACTCTTCTCGCTACATTAACATTGATTGAGTTTGAAAAGTAGGATGATTTTGAATTCTTCGGTAGATTTCGATTACGGTAAGTAAAGGGACAGCCAATCAATGTCTATTGAGTCCAACAATGTAACTTCGGTCTGAATAAAATTGTTATTTCTTTTACCCGTATTATTAATTACTATAGGCCTATTCTTTTTTGAGTCCATTATCCCAATTATCAACCAATTACTAATCACAACGGTGAAATGTTACTGTACTATTGCTATAAAGGTAACGTTAACATAACCTACAAATTAGCAACACTTTCCAAATATAACAGAAAAAAACACTGGCATCGTGTGATTGAAGACAAAAAACAGCAAAAGTACCAATTCAGTGCCACTAACATGAATATTTCTAGTACCTACCTTAGCTTGACCGTTCGGTTAAGTTTAGTTGAGAAAAAGCTCGTTGGGTTAACTCATTAGTTTACCCAGGTTTGGAGAAAGCGGGCCTGAGTGTGAGCACAGAAAACATACTAAGTACTATAACCCAGAATGCCAACCGCATGGTAAAAAGCATTAAATGTTTTGAGAGAGCTTTGCCTGTCAATCGTAGGCAGCGCCACCAGCGTTGCTATGCTGAGTTCATGGCAACGCTGGTGGCGCTGCCTACGATTGACAGGCAAAGCTCTCTCAAAACACTTAATGCTTTTTACCATGCGGTTGGCATTCTGGGTTATAGTAACTAGTATGTTTTCTGTGGTGTGAGGCATTACCTATAACTTGCAATCAAACCTCTATTAACTGTCTCTCCTTTCTTCTCCAAGCTTATCAAATACCCCCTTTATTAGCCTAATGAAGTAAAAGAAACTAGGTGTCGTGTTCTTAGCCATGATAGGCCTAAGTTATTTGTTTAGTTTCGAGGCTCAAAAAATATGAAAGAAAAACAATTCATAGGCTATGTTAAACATAGTTAAGTTAGTAACTTGTTAGGCTACTAAACTTGGTAGCCTATAGACCTATATCGGATTAAGAGAATGTACATTGTTGTGAGTTTCAATTAAATTCAAATGTTTGCATACTTTTTCAGGTGGAACACTTACAAAAATTGCTTACTATTCCAAAATTTCTCAAAGAATAATTAACTATGATTCTGAAGAGGTAAGTAATTAAAAAGTCGCTAACAAGTTGTATTAGCGAATTTCCCTATTGGGAAGTAGCTATTACCGTAGGTCTCATGGTAAGACCTAGGTCCGGGACCCATTTACTTTTTCATTTTGATGTCCCCAGAGGCCAAAAACACCATTCGTTCAAATTTTTATATACATATATATATAGGCATATATGTGTGTCCATCCGCACGATTACTTGAGTAATTTTTGTCCGATTTTGATAAAATTTGGTTTGAAGGTGTAAGGCGGGATAAACTTGAATGAGTTCGCAAACCAGCATGATCCGACTATGGGAACGGGGGTTTATGGGGGGTTTTATGGGGTAAAAATAGGTTTTTCCCATTTTTGACCCTAAAAACACAAAATTTCACAATTTCTTTTTTAACCATTTTGTAGAGCTTAAAAAAACAAATAATTTAGTATATTAAAGCGTTATTATGCGCCTAATTGTTACGGAGAAAATTAAAAAAAATTGTAATTTTAAAATTTCCATGTTATTCTTATGGAGAATAAGTCAACTGTTGTAGTTTGCTTGTTTATGAACATATTTTGATCAAATTTGGAAAATAGATTAATTTCTTACTAAACCACAGTACCTTTTAAGATTTTACATTAAAAAAAAACTTTTTTACCCTCCCTGTTGCAGCAAACCTTTCTGTCTAATTCTGTTTAAATAGGGAATAAATGTGATATTTTTAAGGAGACATTTTAGTTTAAATCCAATCAGGCAAATGGAAATTCGCTAAGTCTGCAGGTTTGCTGCGGCGGGGGTATTTTTAACATACAGCATTACATTGTTGAACTATTTTAGGCTTTAACTTAAAAATTGTAAAAAATTTGAATTATAATCTAATCTGTTTAGACCTAGTCAAAATATCATGTTAACTAGCAGTACAAATATTAATATAGTTTGTCTACTTACCTCATAGGGAGATTTATTTTATAAATTTAGGTACCGGTATAGTCTTTTAACCTTTTTAGTGCTAGAAATTGTTTTGTAATCATCCAAAAAATCTAGAATTATTTTACTTATTTTGTCCGAAAAGTGCAAGGCTTTCAATGGGGGCAAAGTCTAGTGTGCGAGAAAAAAATCGGTAAAAATAAAATTTTTATCTCAAAAGTGCTAAGGAACAAACGGTATATCGGGACTCGATCCTTATGAGGAATCAAAAGAAACCATCGCTGATTCAAAACAACAGAGTCAACCGATATGCCCATTTAAACCCACACAATTGAAAGTCTCGCTGCCCGCTGGCACGATATATCGTCGCTTAGCACTTCGGAAGAAATGGGAACAACAATATATCGTTCAATAGCACTTTTCAGGAAAAAGATGCTCAACGATTTATCGTTGCATAGCACTGAAAGGGTTAAATAAATTATTCAGATAGTAGTTTATTACATGTTTAACTGTCATGTTTGTCTCAGGATAAGTTTGACACAATGGAAGGTGCACGTTTGCATTTTGTCAAATTTGAAACCAAATACATAGCAAGCTGTTTGGATTTTGTACGACAGAATCTGGTTGGAAGTAGAGATTTAATGGCTGGTAAAAAAATAAAAGCTACTGGAGGTGGGGCATACAGATATGCTGACTTGTTGCAGGAAAAACTTGGTTTATCGTAAGTTTTGTTCAAAAGCTATTATTATTTTGGTTTAAACTGTAAAATATGAGGTATTAATAATTTCTTTATCATCTTAATCATCATATAAGAACCCTCGATTAACCAATGTAAACTGTAGTAAGTTCGGATTTAATCCAAAAGGTCTGATAGATGTTAATGTATGGAATTAATTAAGTTTATCTTTTCTCTGTAGTTCCTCTATAAGTGGTTAAGGTTTGTCTTACTTTTACTTTTTAAAAATGAGTGTTTCAATTATTAACATACCCTCATTAAAATCTCATCTTTAATATCTTTCATTAACATTAAGCTTGCATTACCATTTCTAAAATTAGTGAAATTTAAATGCTATAAATATTGCTAGTTTATAAAATTGATAAAAATCCCCTTTCAATGTATTATTTTTACTGTTTGCTTAGTTTGTGAGGTGAGGTGAACTAATTGTCCAAAAAGTACTCAAGTAATAAATTATATTTTAATTTATTTATCTTCATTTCTATTGTAACTGTTAGGGTAGAAAAGGAAGATGAAATGGGATGTCTAATCAAGGGGTGCAATTTTCTTCTGAAGAACATCAGTGATGAGGCCTTCATCTACCATCGTCATGGCGACCCAGAGTACGACTTCCAGCTGGCAGACCCAGACATTTTCCCTTACCTTTTAGTCAACATAGGCTCAGGGGTCAGCATCATGAAGGTGAGTATTCCTTCATATGATCTTGATGATTAGATTCATATGACATACGAATCATATGACATATGACAAATCATGTATATTATCATAACTTTCTGCGAACGTGTTAGAAATAAGTGGGGAAATTGAAAGCGTGAATCTACCTGACGGATTCTACGATCACAATAGTAAAGCTCAGCTTGACTCTGCCGATTTTCTGTAAAATACCCCATATTTCAGCAAAAATCTGATTATCCGAATTGATCCCAATTGATTAGGATAGTTAGTTACTGGATATAAAACACAAATTAAAAAAGGCTTGAGATTTTCAAGATGAGAAGTGTGCTTGCTGCATCCAGTAGTCAATACTGTTTCAAAAGATATAATATAAACTAACCATTATTTGCAGGTAGAATCAGAAGATAAATATGAGAGAATTGGAGGCACTGCGACTGGTGGAGGAACATTTTGGGGACTGGGATCATTGCTGACTAAAGCAAAGGTTAGTTTTACACAATATTTATTGCTAAACAGATATTGCTAGATAGTTTTGTAATTTTATTGCCCAAAAGTAAGCCTAATTTTCAACCTTTTTCTAAGGGAACAGTAGAAATGTGTCTTTTTACTATATACTTTAGCTAATAACCTTACATATTTTTATGTATCTATAATCTACTTAATACATACATATGGATAGGGTGATGCAAAATGAGTGGTCAGATTTTAATAGCTCACTCATGGCAAATGATCATGGTTGTGGCGTCTAGCAGATTATATTCATATATTGCAATACTGTAATTGTTTTTGTGGTAAAATTGTAGATAAGCTAGCCTCTTGCATATCCATCCTTTTTCTTATCTGACACAAAAGGCTTTTCAGATAAACTTTGAATGCTCACATATACTCCTTGTTACCTGAAAACAGAAAAAGTATGACATCTATATAGGTAAATAAAATAACAGTTTTGTCTGTACAATGCGTAGAATAATGAAGTTTGTTGTTATTTTTACGTTTTATATACTGAGAAAGCCGAAACAAGTCTTATCTTGATTTCTGTCTGTCTGTCATTGTGTCTGTGACGCCATAACTCTAATTTACGCGGCCTACTCCGAGAAAACTAGAGTACCGATCATGATTCTAATAGTTTAATCGTATTCACAGGATTGGCGAGAGTGTCTTTAGCCATTAAAATATGGTCTCACTACTTTGGAAATAAAATAACGAACGTTCAAAAACCCAATTTTATGTGATTTTTGACACTGTTCTCAGATTGTTTACTACATACGTCATTTATTAATCACTAATCATCTGTTTAGAGAATACATCATCTAAAAAATAACGAACAGCGGGAACAGCTGTTTGGATAAAGATACGTTAGTCTAGCTATCACTGATATGTGTTCATTACATTTTGTTTACAAATACTGCAACCATTTCCGATTACATTTTGTAAGCAAATCCAAAACTAAGTGAGCTTAACATAACCTTGCAACTTACATAACAGATTTAATTGATCGTAAGTATAATAATTTGTAACTGTTGTTGAAAATAATTAGGCTAATAAATAACTAGCTAATAAATAACTAAATAAATCTAAATAAATAAGTAGCTTCCAATTATAACTTAAGGCTATGCCTTATAGATCTACATGCCTTAAAAAGCTGTTTTTGTTTCAGTTCAATCATTATATATAGGCTAAAATAGAATAAAAAAGATTTATACCCAGGTAATATTTAATTGTGAATCATTTGGTTTGGCTTGACACTGTCAGATATTGTGCTTGTGAAGGTTATGATCATTCCAATAATTAAATAGTTTTGCCTGCTTATTTGGAAAAATGCACACTTGATATGCAATCCAACTGCTGATCTGAATATAATAAGGTTTAAACTGACCAAAAGATCCCCGTCCGTAGAACGGGCACACAGGTAGTTCAAAATACAATTGAAGCATAATAATTTGTGAAGGGTTTTGACGAACTGCTGGAGCTAGCAGAGCAGGGAGACCATCGTCATGCAGACATGTTAGTGCGAGACATCTACGGAGGAGACTACCAGACTCTTGGACTGCCAGGCGACTTGATTGCATCGTCCTTTGGAAAAGTCTGTCCGAAGCGAGGAGACCGTAAGTGTGGAAGTTGGTTGTAATCAAATTAAAAGAAAATTAATGGTGACTAATTATGGTAAAAACGTACCTTTTCATGGCAGTGCATATTTTAAGGGATTTCCACTGGGCGACAGTGGCGCCGGACCTGGGGGTCTGGAATACCCCCCATCAAAAAAGGGGGGAGTCCTAGGCCCTTCCCAGACATTTTTCCATAAATTTAAGTGAAAATTACACATTTCTACGTATCTTTTAATGAATTTTTCGATTATATTTGCTTGTAAATAGTCCATTTAATCTCACTTAATTACGTATTCTAGAACTTTATAGGTTTGAGGTTGTGGCTCCCTTCATAGCCTCTTGTCAGCTCTTGTCATAGCTCAATACCCTAAAATATTTAAATAATGTTATTTTTTAAATCCCAATGCATTTAAAATGTGAATTATTTAAAAAAATATGCTGGCACCACCCATAGTCACTGGGCGACAAAATCCCAGCACTGGGCGACATTTGTGTCGCCCAGTGTGTATTCATGGCCTATTGATGAGCAAAAAATGAATAGAAGGTTTCAGGTTATTCATGTCTGTGTTTCTCAATTGGATCTTCAACACTTTTACATTTACAAACCCCCTATCCAATGACTTTACATTTTACTTCCTTCTAAAATTATTGATCTTTATACTACGATCAACACAATAAAATATGCCTTGAGAGGTCTCTTCCTATTCAAATACTTAACACCAGCAAAGGAGACTGTCTGGGGAGTCTCAAGTTAATTTGACTACAAACTTTTAATTTGGCTACTTTATAGTGTGTCTGATTAACCTGATTCCATCTTATTTATTGCAACTTGACAGAAGGACAGCAGTGCTCTGAAGCAGACGTGGCTCGTAGCTTGCTGTTCACCATCAGCAACGACATTGGACAGATTGCGTGTCTCTATGCAATGATGCACAAGCTGAATAGGGTAAGTAACTTAGTACAGTCGGTTAAAACTTGTGCCTTCTTTAAAGTTCATTGTTTGTGGTAATTTCATTCTGTTTTAAGGATTATTGAACTTTTCTATAACTTAAAATCACTGCAAGTAAAACATAATTAATCTTACCAGGTTTTGAAATCTAATCCTTCACAGTCGTGAAGAGGAATGAAACCTAAAATATGACACGATTCGTACTCAAACCGAACGGTGTCCAAATGTTTAGGGCAGTCTAATAAATATAGCTACAAAAAGAATACAAAATCAGATATCTTTTTGAAACAACTACAGTACGCGCTGAAATAAACAATACTGCAAAACATTTGACTAATTCAGTTTCAGTACTGTTCATTTTGTCGCATACTGAACTTATGGCATACTGAATGGGGTTGCTTCCTGATAAAGTTTCAAGCAAAGCAATTTGGATACAATTCTTCAATCTAATTCTGATAAAAAAGTTGAGTGAACAAGAACAAAAAAAAAACATAACAATACACCATTCCTCCCTCTAGATGAGTTTTTTAAATCTTGTAGCTACAACAAAATACCCGTCGCAGCAAACCTGCAGACTAAATGGATTTCCATTTGCCTGATTAGATTTACACTAAAATATCTCCTTAAAAATACTACATTGATTCCCTATTTAACCCATTGGCGCCGACTTACGAGCGTTACTCGTACGACCGCTGCAGGCCAGGCGGCCGACTTACGAGTGCCGCTCGTGTCACCGCTAGGCAGCGCCATTAGTTATTTAGTTATTATTATTTTTCACCCTTTTTGTTTCTTCTTACTATTACAATGTTTATAAATATCTTGCTTCTTAATTTGCGTATTTACTCATTTATTTTAGCCAATAACAAACAATTTTGTGTTGCCATGGAAACCACTTATCACTAAAAATCAGCTGCGGTAAGGTAAACAAACAATTAAAAAAAAATTTTATCTATACTTATAAAAGGCAAAGCCCTCACTGACTCACTGACACACTCACTCATCACTAATTCTCCCACTTCCCATTTACCTAGGAGGCTGAAATTCGGTACACCGATTCTTTGGGCATTAAATAGGAAAACTAAGTAGTTTTTATTCTGATCGGGCTTTCGGGCTCCGCCCCAGTGGCTCTGGAGTTTCCCATGTTAACCTTATGATTTTTCATATTGAAAAGGAATTAATGAATCTTAACAGCTGTTTCAATTAAACAAGTTGGTTCTGTTCTATGATGTTCAATAGCATTAAAGTTACAAGGATTACCAACAGGGTGCAGCACTATTATTTTTTTAAATTTATGACAACAGCTAATTTGCAACCAAAAGGTGAGTGAGCGTAGCGAACGAACTTCTACCTGGAGGCGAGTTAGCGTAGCAAACGAGCTAACCTGAAGGCAAGTGAGCGCAGCGAACGAGCTCCAACCCAAAGGTGAGTGAGCATAGCGAACGAACTTCAACCAGGACGTGATTGAGCCATGCGAATGAGCTCATCTTGAAAATTAAGAAATTAAACGGGGCAAAGCCCGCGGGTACAGCTAGTTACTTATAAAAGCACACAACTTTTGATTTTTCTACGTAGGGAATCGATTATCAATTATCAATCAATTATCAATTGAACTTTATAATAGTAGTGTTATTTGGTGTCTGGATTAATCTTTGAATTTGTATATCAAGTTTACTTTCAAAATATTGTTTTTAAAATTTTTATTTTTATAATCTTTATATATATATATTTTTTTAGTTTGCAACTTTGACTATCCAATTACCACTTTTCTGTAGACAATTTTACTGTGAACAAAATGGTGAAAGAATTATTAATTTTTAATTTATTACTTAAGGTTTTCTTTCTATAGCAGTTAGAGTAAAAGTCTACAAATTCGGTAAAATTAATTGCCGCCAGTAGGTGCTGCAGGTAGCGCATTAATTCCTTCCCCAATGGGTTAAATGGCTTTAGTTTAAAAAGTACTTAAGTTTGCTGCAACAGGGAGGGTTAAAAAGTGTTTTTTTTAATTTTAATTTGTATTGGTAGTTTAGTAAATAAATGCATTTCCAAATTTGTTCAAAATTATTTTCATAGACAAGTAAAAACTACAAGAGTTTACTTATTTCTCCGTAAGAATAACATGCAGATTTTGAATTCACAATTTCTTGGAATTTTCTTGTTAACCATTAGGCGCATGATAACGCTTCAATATGCTTAATCATTTGTTTTTTAAGCTCTACAAATTGGTTTGGAAAGAAATTGCAAATTTTTATATTTATAGGGTCAAAAATGGGAAAAACCAATTAATACCCATAAAACCCCCCACAGTCCAATCATGCTGGTTCGCGAACTCGGTCTAATAAATGTAGGTTTACACGTTAATACCAAATTTCATCAAAATCGTATCATTTTTGCTTGAGTTATGGTGCTGACGGACACATGCATATATAATATGAATTTGAATGGGTGGTGTTTTTGGCCTTTAGAGACCTCAAAACAAACAAGTAAATCGGTCCTGGGTTCAAGTCTTACCATGAGTACTAGGGTAATAGCTTATTCCCTAAATGGGAATTTCGCTAAAAAAACAACCCACCCAGCACCACAAGACAATAATCATTCATAATATGTAAGTTTGCTTTTGTTAGTTAAAGTTTATGTTAGATAAAGTTGTGTTTATCTTAACGATGACAAACAACTTAGGGTTTGTCTACTGGAAGCAGAAGTTGAGATACCTTTGTTAGTGACATGTTTCATCCATTAAAAGTAAGTTATTTTAATAACCTAAGTTAATACTGCCACATATTTTTTAGTACATGGGCCTTCTTTTGGTTATTGATATAAATATATAACATTTTATCATAATTTTAGTTAAGATAGACTTGAATCCCAATAACCTAGGCCCTTGTGCTCTATGTTAAATACATAAACTTTTAGTTAGCAGGATTATTATAAGATAGACACAGCAATTCTCACTGATTTAAATAGGTTTAGTTTTACATGGTGTTTTGTCAATATAATTATTTTAATGTGCATTTTGTAATTTCCCTGCTTAAATAGTTTTGAGATTATACAGTCCACTTTTAATTATTCAAACACTCAATAAGTCAAAACTTTCTATAATTCCAAATAAAAGCTCAGTCCATATAGAATCTCTTATTATTTTGAAGTTTTACCATGTACCATACATTTTGATAATCTCTGTATTTCAAAGTCCAGGTAGGTCGATTTGGTACACACAGTAGTTCAAAGTTTCATCAGCAAAACACTCTATGATTAATTATTCAAAGGGAGGGATTCCTTCCTGTCATAACAGAAAACTATACAACCGGTTAGCACAGGCATCCGGTTAGTCCTAAATAATGTCATTGATGGATGAGGCAAGAATCAATAGCGAAAAACAAACAAAAGTAACAGACTTTTGTATAACTAACAAAAAATAAGCTGTTGTTTGTTGTAAAGCAACTTCAATCAGCTGTTTACCTTACATAATACAAATACAGTAATTAATAGCTATTTACCTTACAAGTGTAGTATGAGCGTTTTTACATCACGCAGGTGAATGTTGTGCAACGAGCAGAAGCGAGTTGCATAATTTACCTAAGTGATGTAAACAAGCTCTTGCGTAACGTGTAACGTACAAGATTTTACCTGACCCAACAATATATAGGAGGTTACGAACAATATTTTTCATTATCCATTTCACTCATCTTCTAACAGTAACGTTAATTTACAAACAAAAGGTAGGTTATGAAAATTCTTCAAAACATAACAATAAAATTCAAGCGCACAGCTGATTTCTAGCGTTGAACGTCGTTGGCTCCATAGAGGTATATTTTTGAAGTTAAGCACTCAATGTTATTTAGGCTAAATGGGTTTCATTAACTCACCGAGTGAGTTTTTTTCAACTTTACATCACTCGAGAAGTAAAGAAGTACATCACGCTTGGGATAGGGAAGTTTAACATGGCGGGTTAGGTAAAAAAATTAACTTTTGTAATAATTCAAATGGTTTACTTTTCTCCCAATAAATGAAACCTTTAAAACTCTTGATAGTCCAAATTTATTTGCTTGGCCCACCAATTTCGAATGATACAGAGGCTACTGTGCTATTCAGAAAGTAAGGAACGTTTCGTTCTGACGCCACTAGGGGTGCGGTGATCCTTTCCATGTTGGTACAGGCGCACTCGGAAACTCAGTCGGCGTCCAGCCGTGACAAGGGGAACATCCTCGCATTGCCCATTTTTTTTGTTGCAATTTTAACTTAAGATGTGCACTGCGTTTGAAAATCCCGCCAGTTGTGAGGTACGGTCAGTGATACAGGGTTTTGGGTAAAAAACTTTAACTCAGACATTTACCGCTAAGTTTGTGAAGATTCTGGAAACATCAAAATGAAGTAAAGTTCTGTACGAAAATGGTGCATTCAGATTAAAAATGGCCGAACTGACATCGATGAGTTATGTCGAAACGAAGGGCGGACACCCGAGCATTTTGGCTGATGAAACTGGTCGCTAAAGTCGATGAAAATGGTTGCGATAACCGCCTATTCACGATAACGGAATTTTCGCTTTGTTTTTTTTTTTCAAAACATAGTTCCATTATTTAGTCAATGGGAAAATTCCTTACGTGAAAGTTGGTCTCATAGATCGACGTCACCAGTTGAAGCCACAAAATAAAGTCAACACTGCAGGGTTAATATGGTCTTGTTAGATATGTATGTACATTTGAGACAGCAACATCAACTAGGTGCGTATTCTACGCAATATATGAATGCAAGATTAGTGTTAAATAGATTGAGATAATCTGCGTAGTGCGTAGCTTTGTTACTGACTCAGCTGTTTCTTCAATCAGGACCATTAAACAAAGACAGCTGGGCCCAGATTGAAACCATCAACACGCTACTGACAATCTCTTTACCTTATCTAACTATATGATTCAGGTATACTTTGGTGGCTACTTCCTCCGTAATCACCCCCTCAGCATGCACACAATCTCGTTTGCCATCAACTTCTGGTCACGAGGTTCCGTCCAGTGCCGGTTTCTGCGCCATGAAGGCTACCTTGGTGCCATCGGAGCATTCTTGAAGGGCGCCGAGGAGTGGGGTGCGTACAGTTCCAGGTACCATCATCCTGACACTTGTAGTAGCTCGGCTCTGTTACTGATATATTATGGCTTAATCATGCCTCACAATTCCAGCTTTTGATAGGTTCATCTTTAATGTAAAACGGGTACAAAATAAAAACATGATGTGAGATAGGGAGATGAATTCTTCCAACACTACTCGATATATTTATACTTAATAATAGTTACAGTTAAACCTTGATAATCCAGCTGAATTAATTACGTCAGGCTTTGTGTTTCGTTCAATGTAATACCGTACTATTATTTAAAGATCCCGGGAACATTGCATACCTATGTATTCAGCTGCTTCTGGGCTTCATGACAACCATTAAAGATGGCCGTGTTGCGTACTATTTATTTTGCCCTTTGTTTGTTTTGCTGCTTGTCTGTTTTCGTCTATGGTTGTCATGGCTACTTTGGATCTATGTTTTTATCAAGTTTAATAATCATTTTTCAAATAAACACTATATAACTATATATTTTCTTTTTCCTCATTTAATTAGAAAAAATGTCTGGTTACTCAGAAATAGAAACAAAATTTGTGCATCTTCTGGATTTGAACCCATATAGGAATTCAGTCTTGGTAAGGGTATTATACTATATATTTAAAATTTAAAAGATAGCCTATTTTATGTAGAAAATATGTATGTCTTCATTGAAAGCTTTTATGGATGTTTACATAAAACTCGGCAAAAGTGCCTAAATACTCATGACATTAGTTTGTCAATGTGACACCTAAATGGTTAAAGTAAAGTAATTGTTTATATTGTATTGCACCTTTATAAAAGGTTTATTACTTACTAACTATTTCATTTAGGCTATGATTCTTTTTATGAATAGGATTAATAGTGAGATAAAACATGAATGTACTCATATGTGAATTGTAACTAAATTACTTTCAATATTTATTAACTACTGTATTTTCAAAAAGAATATTTAAATTTAATGAAATATAAATTAGTGAAAAAGAAAAACTATATTCAAAAATAATATTCTAAAATTAAATGGTGTCTAGGTAGGAAATATTTCTTTTGTACTGTCCAGTGTCCAGGTGTGAAGTAGCATTGTTGAAAAGAAAAGGAAGAAAATGTGCTTGTGGTGGAAGATATAGAGAGAGATGGATGTGGGAGCCAAGTCTCCAGTGATTTAAATATTCAAAAGTAAAAATTAACATTCAGAATACATATAAATATTGAATATGAAGAGACATAAAGAAAGAAGATAATCACTATTCAACAAAAATTGGTAATATCAACTTCAATTAACACTTCAAAAATTCATCATCAATTTCCAACCACCATCACACCATTGTGAATTGATTAAATTCAAGTGACTGTTTTCAAACTAAGAACTTATAGCCTAAATTTTTAACTCTCATTATTAGTCTATCTCATATTATTTTAGCCTATATTAGTACTGTATAAATTCAGTTAATTAGCCTATCAGAATTTCATACCCGGCACAAACCAACCCCTAGATTAAGATAATTTTCTCTCCAAATTGTTATCTAGCCTAGCCCATCAAAAACCTAGACCAAAATATAATTTCACTGTCATAGCCCAATGAGATTGTTGTAATAGCTATAGAACCTAAATATATTTTATTGTAACTTTATTGGAATTTTATTATCTATTTTAAGTAAATTCATATTTTGAAATCCATTAATAAAGAGGAGTAGGTTGCAATAGGGATCATCAAGGTTCTACTGTATTTGATTTGTTGGATAATTAGAACTAAACATTCCATCCCCATATAAAACGTAAAAATCTTTAGCTACTTGTTCATTAAAATGAACAATATTGAATTGATCCGCTGACAATATGCCAAAGTAAACTAATTATTTCTGCTAAACTTGAGTACTTATTAACAAAGCCAAATTATAATGACAACATGTTGTTGACTACAGAATCCTTTATGTCACATCAACTGTCACAGTAACAAAAACTAAGGGTGACAATTTAATTTTGCACAACCACACTTTAAAACAAAATGAGATCAGTGTATTATATTATGATGAAATATGCTACAAAAATAACTTTTACTGCACTTTCTGTTGTGAACTGAAGACTTACTTATGAGCTTATACGCATTAGCTGGTTTGTTAGGTGTTGGTAGCAGGGTTTTATCTAACACAAACACTAAGATAAGGGCTAATGTTGTTCTCATCAGTTCTCTTTTGTTGCTGTTATTATCAGCTGTCTTTAAGAAAGAGTTACATGTTTAAGAAGTCATTTAACTCAACACAATTTCAATCTACGAAACTCAAAGTCTGGTTAGTAAAAAAATAATATCATTAAGTCTATAGTCTTTGTGTTTATGGTAGCTTGATGGTGACAAGAAACTTTTAAATTTAATATAGGCCTAGCTTTATTTAACCCTCAAAATAAATTGTATGGATTCTATCATTTGGTCACTAGGATTGTCATTCTATTTGTTGTATCTTTTTAACCACATTCTGTTCACCATTTTATAGTTCAGCAAACTGTTAATATTTTGTCTTAACATATTTCTTTAAGCTGCAGGGTTTTTGTTTGTCAGCTCTCTCGGTGATGTATTGGGTGATAAAATTTCACTTTCCTATTGTAAATTGAAGAAAGAACACTATTTACTTTAATATCATTTGATTTTCTCTTCATCATCTTTTTCATTAACAGTAAAAATTAAATAAGAGAAATAAGTTTTTATCAAATTTTTTGGTGTTTTTGGACTTAAACTTGGCGAATGTTTGTTTCAATTGGTTCAACAGTGATCTCATCTGTATAAAATAAAGATTTTTATTTCCCTACATTAAAAATTCGGTTTATTAACATACACAGAGATATTGAAACTTGCTCTTTTAGAGAAAAAGATATTTCTAAAAAAAAACTGCTTCAACAACATGCAGTTTCAACACACTCAGTGATCTCTGGATTTCAGTTATTGGGTTAACTGTATCTTTATTTTGTCAGATTGTGCGAAAGTATGAATCCTTATGCAAAATATGCAAAAGGGAGCCGTGAAAAGGCCTTAAGTCTCAAAACAACAAAAAGATTGTTAACTGGCGTTTTATTCCCAATAACTTACAGTAGCAATATGCTTGAGCACAAACAACAGCGATGACTACAAATTGTAAATTTAAAATTTAGTTTTCTCAAAAGTGGGAACAAATTTTTCCAAAGTTTTACAGTAGCAATCGAGCAAGAATACAGGAATAGTTTGTGAAGCTACATGTTATATAGCTTTTTGCTTGTAAAAAAAATCCTGTGTACTTGACCCTTGACTAAGCTACACAAAGATCATCTTGCTACATTCTACACTCACCCTGCTTTCGTATTCAGGTTAAAATACAAATACAATTAGTTCAAATTGTACTTTAATAACCGACAACAATATGTATAAAAAAATGCCACAAACAACAATATTGTAAAATTTTACTTAATTATTGACAAATTTAAAATATGGAGTGCCACAAGGATCAATTCTGGGACCACTGTTGTTCATATGTTATATAAAGGGTTTACTAGATTTATTAGATGATGCTGAAGTCTGTCTATATGCTTACATTAGCTTACTTGTATCTGGTAATACTCATCAAAAAGTAGAGTCAATAGCAAATAATTAATTTCCATATGTAAATTTTATTCTAAACAATATGAACGTTTTAGTAAATAACATAAATAAGACAAAGTGCATATTTTTATCCACATATCAGAGTAATAAACAAGTTCAACACAGAATTTTGATGGAAGGAAAATGTCTAGAATAATTGAACAATTTTAAATAATTCTTAGGACTTGTATTGGACAAAAATTTAAATTGGAACCTTCATATTGAACATCTTGGCTGTAAAATTTCATCAGGGATGTTTGCTCTGAGAAAAATGTCAAAATTATGTTCTTTGGAAACATTAAAAATAATTTACTTTGCTTTTATTCACTCCCACATCCCTTTTGACATAATTTTGTATGGAGCAACATCTCAAGAAAATTTTGAACAACTATTATCATTTCAAAAACAAGCACTTCGCATCATGTTAAACATTCAAGATTGGAGACCTTCAATTTTCAAAACTTGGTATTCTTTCTGTTTTTGCCCAATATATCTTTGATTTAATCTTAATCTTGTTTGTAAAGAATAATTTGCCAAAATTCGAAACCTTGGGTTCATGCCACAGCTATGGGACAAGGCACAGACATAAAATCAATTTTTCAAATCACAACTTAAAATTCTTTGAAAAAAACCTTCATATGCTAGAATTTAGTTTTATAACCTTCTGCCTGATAATCTTTTACAAATAACAGACACAAATAAATTTTAAAAACAACTAAAAACTTTTATGTTATCCAAGCCCATTTACACCCTAGATGAATTTGTTGGTTGACTGTGTTGTAAATTTGCAAGTTACCAGTTTTTGTATTTTTATTTAGCCGTTTTATATAAGGTTAGTTTTAACAATATAATTTAATTTTATACCTAACACAATTCTGATCAGGATCGTATTTATAACCGATGAGGTCCCCGGCGGCTCCTCTCACCTGTGAGGCACCTCTATATTCTGATTCTATGGAAGGTTGGAGCTTAAGCTGGGTTTTCCTAGGCGCGTAACCGAAGAGCGGAATTGAAATTAACATGGCATTTCGCTCCGCTTCTAGGAAAACAGTAACATTAAATTGCCTAAGACAAGTGGAGTCCGCTCTCCGCGTTCCTCTCTCCGCTCGCCGATTCCGTGCCTAGGAAAACCCGGCTTTAAGGGTAGAAACGAGGTATTGCTTCAACTCGATGAATGGGCGTTTTGTTTTCAACGATCTGATCGGCAAAAAGACTTAGGAGACTTAGCTAATAAAATAATAAGTCTATTATTTTTATTTTTTATTATTAGGGGTCTTAGGTTAGGACCAAACATTATTGGTCGTCTCCCACAAAACAGATTATCGGTGAAATTAATTTAACAAGGAAAAAAATTGAGGCCCCAAGTGAGACCCCCTCCTAGGCCTGGCCCCCGGCAACCGCCGTGTCCGCCATTAGGGAAATACGGCCCTGATTCTGATGTAACATAATGTACTCTTGAAAAAAGATTAAATGACTATGACAAAGCTCGTCGCTGTCTTATGATAATATAAGTGATATATTGCAGATGAGGATAAGTACTCTTGGCTAGAGAACTACGCAGGCAGTTCAGGTCTGAGGACACAAGCCTCTGTCATGTTGGAGAGTTCGGTGCCGGTAGATCAGCTGGAGCTTGACAGATGGCAGACGACGCTATCCTTCTGTCCTCTACTGGCCGACCCAGCCAACTACGTGCCTGACACGGTCGATCTCAACGGTGACCAGGAAGCTAGGTATGCTACTCATGAAGTGTACAAGTTTTTCTATTATTAAGGTTTCAGCAATAATATTTCTTTGCTATAAACGTGGGACGTTCTGACAAACTATTTACAAACTTACTCTGTAATGTCGCCACTGTTGCCTATGCGTATTGTCACATGTCACATATTGGCGACATGTCACCAGGATTCTGCCCGTATACAGTCTAAGTTCTCAGATTCTTATCAATGTTAAAAAAATGTTAAACATGAATTTGAAAAATCATGAATTTGTATTTCCAAGTTTTAGTGGAGACTGTTAATGTTAGTATATAAATACTAATATCTCCTTCTTAATGTAAAAAAGTTATGACACAAAGGTACGGCAAATTTTTTGAGGAACTTACCTGATAAAAAAATAAAGGAATCCAAAAAGAATATTAGATGTACAGGGTCTAAAATTCCAAAATTCATCCAAAGAATACAAAGATAATGAAAAGAGAAAAATTTGTAATCTTCTTTTAAAAACATCAAAACTATTTTCCTCTATTTTAATTTTCCAACACCTGTATTTGACACTATTTATCCTACAAAAACAAAGATTCTTTGAACTTAAATTTGAATTTGTACCGAACCGATGGTGGTAGTTAGGTCAGAACTGTACCCTAGTGTCTATTTCGGTGGAATGCAGACACCTACTAAACATACCACTTTTCTGTGTCCAAGTAAAATTTACAATGTATGTAAGAAAAGATTTCTCTCCTCACGAAAAATACTTCTAAACTGTTTTGCAGATGAGAACCACTGAACAAAACTTTTATAAATGTGAAATAAATCCTCAAGACAAATGTTTGCAGGGAGTACTGGCTGGACTGTTTTGAGAACTCGATAGGCAAGTATGTACAGAAGGCAGTGGAGAGCCAGCCTGAGAGTAAGACAGCTGCTGCGAGAGGTCAACAACTCATGGACAAGTACCTGGCCAGATTGAGACATCTCAAGGAGCAACCATTGTAAGTGGAGTATTGTAGCAATGTGAATAATTGACACATTACGTATATTTTTATTTAAAACTTAACGTGTGCAAGAGCTATGTACAGTTAACTTCCTCTAATTTGGCACCCTAATGTACAAGACTTTTATTGTAATTTGAAAACCCCAAAAAGTATATTTTGCTCACATTCACTCTCATCTTGCATTCGGTTCAGCATTGTATGGGTTAACAAAAAAATTAAATATGGATAGCATTCTGAAGCAGTTATAAGAGGCTATCAGAATTATGCTCAATCTTAAGGGTCCGCCCTACCTCTGCCGTTTTGTGCAAACGCAAGGGGCTGGTGCAACTGAGTTACCGAAGGCTACATTTAACGTAGAATCAAAATAAGGGTGTCATTTTGAAGATGATAAAATTATCTAAATTATTGTAGTTTCAATATGTTAACTATTGTACCACGAAGCCTGAAAATATTCTTTTGAATTTTTACGAAAAATGGCAATTTTAAACTGCTGTAACTTATTATAGAATCGTTACTTTAAAAATGTGAAACTAGAATCACTTAGATTGTTCTTTGTTCTTTAAAACACCGTTTGTTGTTTTTCACTAGCATGTATGGGTAGCTTACAAAGTCAGTTACCGTGAACCTCTGCAACTAGAAAATTTGAAGCCGTAACGTACCGAACCTTGCGGCCGCGAGTGGAACTACACGCGTACAGCCCCTCCACGGTCATATTGCTTCCCCTCCTCCAATTCTCAGCTCTCAGCTGAGAAAGCTTTCTGCACTGACTATATAATACCGTACTTCTGCTGTACCCACAACACACACAACTATTTGGGCTCATCGATGTTTTGGCTACACTAAATTGGCTACACTGTTGTTAAATAAACATTTCAGTTTAATGAACGAATCTTTTTTATACAGATACTAGCAGAATACCCGCCCGTTGTTAAATAAACATGTCAGTTTATTGAACGAATCCTTTTTACATAGATACTAGCAGAATACCCGCCCTTTATACGGGGTTGGTGTACGTTTTCAATGGGGGAGGACACGGTTTTAGAATTTTTTTGTTCCTTTAATGTACGGCATGCTATAGTTACCACATCTACCATAGCAAAAATGGTCTATCACCATATGGAGCTCATCATACAAAATTTAAGACCAACCCGACCAGTAGGTAATGCGTAAATCCTCGACTTTGGAAGTAACCTTTCCTGGAGGTGAAAACGGGCAAGTACCCGTAGCTCACGGGGACACTCAAGGGCAACGTAACTTTCCGCAGTGTGAGGGCAACGGTTTGTAGGCACTTATGCAAACCAATCCCTGTCTCTGAGCACGGATGGTATGGTTATCTTGAGTGTGAGGGGTTCTTCCCGGAACCTCAATTGAGTCAAGGGTGTCGCCACCTCTGGTGGATAGGTTCATCCGGGTGGGTCCCACTTCTATACCTGCCTCCTTTTGGGAAACCCTGATGGCCTGGCAGTGATGTTGGGTCTGACGGGCAAATGAAGTAGATCGGGTGCTGGGGCTCCGCCAGGGGTATCTGGGGATCTATCGCTCTGGTTATCTCTGGTTTCCCAGCAATGGGTAAGGCCTCGATCGGGCAGCGGTGTAAATGGGAGGTTGGGGTTCCCCCCGTCAGCGTGCTGACGGTCCCCTTCCTCCTGGCTATTGATGGCGGGTTCTGCCTGTCAGGGATTAGATAGGTCCCGAGTGTTGCTTGCACTAAATGCGTCGGGGCGCTCTACCATGGACCTCTAGGTCCCGACCTAGTGGAACCCAGGTGGAGTGACGCTTAAACAAGCAGCCGGAATCCCTGGTTAGGATTGAGGGGCAACCCTCCTTCCGAAGGGTCTGCTTCGGCAGCCGGCGAGCCTGATGACCTTAAGTCATCCGCCCATGATGTGCTAAAGGTTGATGCGTAAGCTTCGGCCTACATCATGGGGCCCGGGTATGTCCTAAAGGATAGGTACCGGGTATGCAGTCAGGGGGCTTCGGCTCTCATGACAAATAATAAAAAAAAAAAAAAAGTAGGTAATGCGTGATGAACTTCAAACAAACAAACAAACGCACAAAATTTCACATTTATAATATTTGTAAGATAATAATCTAGTTTGTATGAGAAAGTAGATTAAGATGAACTATGAACGTACCACAACACGTATAATGGTTCTAATGCTGTACCGGTAACGATTCGCTCAAAACTAAAACTAAATTGATAATAAGATGAAAAGTATTTTATTTATATCATTATAATTGTTTGTATAGAGTATAGCAATAAGTATGACTGACTAGGCCGATGGTTTGCTACCTATGTACTACCAGTACTGTACAACTCAGGATGGCTAGTGTAGTCCACCACTCTAGAGCGGTGGAGGTTGATGATCAGCTGTAGTGAGACTGGGGTGGAACACCCCCGCAGGCAACATTGGACGCGCCCACGAAGGCCGCGCGATAGGGCTTTCTCGCTTTCTGCTATACTATACTAGCATCCATCACCAGCACACGTGCAGTCTCATTCTGCTATAATATCGTTTGTAATACTGTATTCTGTTATAGTATTGTAAGTTCTATTATCTAGAAAAGACAGGTGCATTCGTATTGCAAGTTCCTTTGTATAGTTATTTATTTGAAATGCCTCATCCTCGAAAAAAAAAGGTCGCTCAGTTTCAGTCAAATGTAAAAGGCAAACTGGAAAAAACCTTGGACATTGGGCAATAAAGAAAGGCGCCAGAAAATTGTGGTAAGTAAGCATTATTTTTTTGTTAATTTTTAACTTGCATAAATAGGCATTAGTAACGTTTAATTAATATGGTAGTGGAATAGCTAGCTATTTACATTGAGCTATTTTATACTTCATATAAATGAAACCTTGTTGTATTGTTTGAAAATCTAGTACTGTGTTTTACTATTGCAGATATTATCATTTTCTCAATAATTATAATACAACTGTGTATAAATCAGAACAGCTGTCTTACACGTATAAAGACAAATTTTATAGCAGCCTACAGTAGAAAGAGTAATCTTCAATTGAGAAAGTGTATAGGCCTAGTCAACAATATCACCTTCCAATGTTCCAATTCCATCGCATACCTGCCTCTTCCATAATCAATATCACCACAATACAATTACTCATACTATACACAATTTCCAGTAGGTCTGAATTGAAACTCCCTAAAATAAAACGAAAACATCCAAAAAAATTCACAGTACCCCTAATTATAACGTTTGTGTCGTGACATCATTAACCGAATCGTCCACACATATCATTTATATCAATTTCACTGCATCAATTTCTAAATAAATAAGTGTAAACAAAGAAAAGTAAGAACTACAACACATAGTTTGTTTTGGTAAACAGCTGAGTCAAAAATAAAATAATATTCATTTGAACAAAAGAACTGGTCACATGTTGAAGGAATTTAAAACGTAAAACACGCTAGTAAAGCTAGTGACGTAATTAATTGTCTATGTTTATTATCCATTCCGTTAGCAGTTCTAATATCCTTAATAATCAAACCACCCTCATTGAATCAATTCCCGTATTCCGTACACCGTAATTCCCCATATTCATTTATTTAAACCATAAAATATTCAGCTCCTCCAAACCGGTGTCCTGATTTCGAGCACTCACTGAAGCGGCAGTAATGGGATCGCTAATCCTGTGGTGATTTCGAGGATGGAACCTCCAGGTCTGGAAGGACAATACATCTGTCTGTTCATTGATGAAATAAGTTGGATTCTATAACCTTTGTTGAGTTCGTGAAACATTCACTTTTGTAGCTGTCAAACTATTATCTTTTAAGAGGCGGCAGGAGTCAGGTTGAAAATCGTCAATCTGCGACTCCTGCATTTGTACGGTCCGCAACCCGCACGGCTAGTTTCTGACCTTGAGCCTATTGATCGTAACTTCCATGGATAGAGCAGTGTTGAAAAATGGACAGTTCGTACATTTCTAAATGGTGCAATACTGTGGCCGACGCGACCGGTCGAATGAATCTGTCTTTTTACACAAACAAACATTCGGCCTGCAATGCTACGCTAATTTTTAACGTACAAATTTAATTTATACGTTTTAAAATTTTATTTTTTTAGTTTTAAAATGTATGTAGTGCGTGCGAGAAGCCGGTAATTATTACTATATTATTTTGGTAAAACTGAATTAAATTTGAAATTTTACGTTTATGCAAATATGCAATTTATTTCATAGCTTTATTTATTTATTTATTCATTACTTTATTTATTTCATAAATGAGATACCATAATTAATTGTTGTTTTTTCAATATATGTTTTATTACATTACGTTAAAAGTTCTTCTATGGAATTGAGTTTTCATTTACACTCAATTTATATAACTGAGTTTAAATAATTTGATGGAAATGGGTATGGTCAATTCAATACTCATGTTTTCCTTTAGAAAACTATTTATTTCGGATTTACAATGTAGTTGATGTTAATGAGTCTTTTCCAAAAAAATCAAAACAAACATGTATTAAAAATAATTATATGTACAAAAATGGATGATCATTTTACAAGCTATGATGACATTTAACCATCGCTTTTGTTTGTCTTCTTAGATGCTTTTTGCTTTTCCTGGGCATTAACAATATACGACGGATTTCGGATTTCCATTGATCTGCAATGGCGGGGATCAATTAATTCAGGTAGAATGCAATTGAGATAAAATCTCTCTAACTTAGGGACCATGTTATTTTGCCAGAACTCATCATCTCGTTCGATTTTTTCCATTTTTATTCCTTTAGTTGTCCACAGTACAAACTGGCAATAACGTCGTTTTGTAATGCTCAACTGGCCTTGCATTTGGTAGTAAAAGTCATGCCCCTTATTTATTTCACCAATCGTTCCATCCTTTTCCTTTTTCCAAAATGTACATTTTCTGGAGATGACTGCTTCATCCGGTGTCAGGTTTTTGCATGAAGATGGGCATTTGATCTCAATCAAGCCATCATCGTCGATTAACCCATCAGGAGATGCCCCTAAAAAAGGTTTTTCG